AGAACAACAATTTGCCATTATATAGCGCCCTTGTCGCTGGATGGTGTCTCGGAGCGCTTGACAAAGGCACGTTTTGGTTTGCAAACAGAAGATTCAGCCCTTAACCTGCTAATGGAGCACGTAACGTTGCACTCAATTTTAAAAAAAAATGCTGCATTTTCCAAACAGCGAATTTAATTCTTGCAGAAGAAAATTGCGTGTGTCTTTTTCACGACGGGTAAAAGGAATGTCATATGAATTTTATTACAACTAAGTCGGACTGGGGCTAAACAGCGTTACATTGTTAAAGCCGTCGTCTTTCGATGGAGAAATCTGTAATTAATTGTGCTCTGTCCGGGCATCAGAGGCACAGCACATAACCTGGGGCCGTGTGAGGTTGAATCCACCTCAGATAGCAGACACGAAGCTCGTCACCCACAGGCTCTTTAGAGTTTTAGCACTGAAGTGAGTTAAGGTCATTGCCAATCGTTGCCTTGGCCCAGAGAGAAAACCTATCGACAATTCACAAGAGACTAACTCTTCCTCTCCCCCTTCCCTTCAAATCTACCAAATACCAAACAGTCCTGGTTGATTAAGGAACTGTTAATAACCTTGCATTCGATATAGCGCCTTATCACGTCATCAAGACGTTTCAAAGCGCTTCACAGGATATACTGTAAGCGCTCCGGGACGCTATCCTGCATGAAGGGCACTATGTAAATACTTTAGTTATTGTTGTACTGTAAAATGGTTTGACTGTATTTTGTGGGAGAAACGCAGAAGCCACAAACAGCTATGGGGGTGGGGGAGTTGTTCGAAAGCATGGTCGAAAAGAAAAGGACTTTAATAATCACCTGCAAAGTTGCTGTGAAGTAACCATTCAGTGAGTAAATAGAAATCAACAGCAGCTAAACACCAACCAGTCACCAAATCCTTTTGCAGCCAAATGGTAAAATCATAAGGAAAAAAAAACACCAGAGAGCAAAAGGCAAATCACGTTTCTAAGTAAAAATCTTGCAGTTTTATTTGGATATAAAGGCTGCTAAATATATAATATCACAATAATTTCATGGAAACAAAGAAGAACTGCGTTTGCTAATTTCCGTTCTTACGACAGAGAGAGAGAGAGAGTCAGAGGAAGATCCTTGGCATTTACAATGCTCTGCTTCAAACCACAAACCGGCCCATTAACTTAGATTCTTTTGTCCTGTGTGTGTGCGAGTGTGCGTGCGTGCGTGCTTGCTTGCTTTTATACACAGTGCAAAAAAAAATAAAAAAAACGACAGCAGTTACAATAATAAATAAGCAGCAGTGAAGGAGAAGGTGTGCATTTATTGTAGGGTTTCGCAAACTCGTGTTTTGTGTTTTTCTTCGGTTTGTTTTGGGCGCCGTTGGGCCAAGGTGACACCCTTTCCCTGGTAAATTGTAGTGTAACTCGTGTTGCATTGTGTTGTTTGCTTAATGGTTCAGGGTGGTCTGGAACGATGCCATTTCAAATTGCTGGGCAAGTAGCATTCTTGAGCTCAAGCTATTTCAGCTTTTACCCCAATGCGATTATTATTATTATTATTATTATTATTTATATGGAAAACAGAAGTTTTGGGGCTCAGGGAGGGGAGGGTGAAAGGTCTTAATATTAATAATAATCCTTGCATTTGATACAGCGCCTTATCGTGTCGTCGAGACGTATCAAAGCGCTTGATAGAGTACACTGTAAAGTGAATTGACTGCATTTTGGCTGGCAGTAAAACCACAACGGTTCAATACAGTGGATGGCTGGGTTCGTTTGAGCCACAGCACCACACTCACCCTCAATAGCTAATGGAAGATAAAGCTCGATCGATTCTTTACCGACCCACACTGAACTCCATCTTCCTTGGGCTCCGTGTGGCACGTTTTACCAGCAGCAAAACACGTCAGTCCTGGGGCGGTTCCAGCCTGTGTCACCCTGCCATGTATTGAACAGGTGTTCTGTTGTCTCTGCTGAAACGTGGGCTAAACTGCTCTGCAAAAGAAATGATAAATAACCTCCCTGTTAATAGGCTTTCCCCCCCACTTGTTTTAATGAAGCTATCAGTTACCTTTCACGTAACAGGATTAGGCTCAGTTATCCGATCGGAAAAAGAACAAGCGCACAATCCCTTTTGGCACTATTGCTACAAGATCATGTGCCTTGCCCTCTGCCAACACCCCAGATAGCAATTCAATTTCTTTCACCCAAAGGAGCACAACTGGGGGAGCAAAAGAGAAGTCAACTCCTTCTGCAGAGTAATTATCCCATACAGCGAATCACAGGATTTTATAAAATGCTTCACAAAGGTGACTTTACATCTGTTCAGTTACGTGGGCAGGAGAACAGGAAGTACAAGATTCACTGGATTCAACGAATGAGGGAATAATTCATTGCCAGTCTTCCAAATGTCCTCAGTTCCAGTTTTATGTGAAAATGAACATGGCCATAAAACACCTCGCTCAGGAGGAGCTTAAACCTCCTTAAGATGAAAATACCTGATCTTCGATCTGATATCTTCTTACTGATGTGTCTTAGCAAAGTGGTTGCTTCCAACATCTGGAATTTTGAAGAATTGATGAAGAAAAAGGACTTGATCTATGAATGTGTGCAGCATAATAATAATAATCCTTGCATTTGATATAGTGCTTTTCACGTCGGGAGGACGTCCCAAAGCATTCATTATAGCTGTAAGTGAGGAGGCATCTGTCCTATTCTTGTTTCAGCAGTTGCTTCCTCGCATTCCCACTGATCTGCTAGAGTGCGAACGGCAGAGACAGTATCTCCATTGTACCCTGAAAAGGTCTAGAGGAACCACCATCCTCTTCTGTCAAACCAATTCCACGTGGAGTTGAGCACCATTAGAGTGGAAGGTTTCCTGGAGATCAGGTTGGTCCTCACTTCTACTAATACAAAGTTTTGCTCCAATGACTTATCCTATTTGATAGCAGGAAGTCTATATCTCTAATGCTTGGTGCATTTGCTGAGGAGATCGGATGCTGTACAGGATCACAACAATAGTTTGGCATTGGTGGGACTTGGGTTCAAACGCAGTCCAGAACGAAGGGATAAAAGATTGCTTAAAGGGTCCGATACAAAACCGGCTCAGGACATTCCCAATCTAGTTGCTAATGTGTCCATAGGACAAAGCTTCATTAGATCCAAAGTGGGACTAAATGTCCATCTCAGTACAAGAAGCCATCACTCCTCGAATCCAACCGTACAATATCTGGCCTAGGAGTGCTTAACATTGATACGGGGACATCAGAGAGGGCGAGAGTGTCATCCCTCGCCTCAAGCATAAAGCTCACCCGGAATATTATTAATAATAAAAAAAAGTGCATTTATGTGGGTGTCGAGTGTGCCACTAGGATTGTCCACCGCACCTGTAATCATACAGACAGTGATAGGGTTTAGTTGACGCACAATGCAGTATGTCTTTGCTGGGGTGGGGGGCTGGGCTTGTGTTGGTGTCTGCAGTCTCGGTGACACTGTGGGTTTCTACAAAGCTTGTCAGACATAATAGGAGGCCACTGTACCCTGTCCCCCCACCCCAGAGTAAAGGTGAGGGCTTGAGATTGAGATCTGTATCATGACGGACTGCTTTGCTCATGTGATGCGCAGCTACAGAAGCCGAGTGTGAAATCCTGCAAACGGTGAAACATCTCGGAAACGGCTGGCAAAAACACATACAAACAACCAGCGGAGGAAACGGAAAGGGAATCCTTAAAGCTCTCACTCCGACTTTGTACGGGAATTGGGAATTGTGCCTAGAGCTTGACAGTGGAAGAAAAAGGAAGGAACAGTTACCACAAGGAACAACAAGAGTGGGGGTTGGTGGAAATAACACAAGATTAACATCACGCAGGTAAAAGGGGACAGTGCAGCTTCGATTGGAACAATGAGGTCTGACCTTACATTACATGGATGGTAACAGATAAAAAGCTTTTCACACCCCCACATTGTATAGCAAGGTGCCTGGTCTCTTCGGCAAGAATCTGCTGAATATCTCTTCTGACCATTTAGACGGTCGGTCTAACAAACAACAGGGATCTACTGGAGATTGCATCGGGGAAAATAAACATGTTAAAAAAAAATTGTAAATTATTTTCACGCATTGTTTTTGAGAAATTTCTCAGTTTCTTCCCCGTTTCCCCACTTCTCTCACTCTCTCTCTTTCTCTCTCTCTCTCTGGATGAATCATTCACGTTCAAGAGGATGACCTATTTCGAACTGGCTTCCAGGAAGTGTGCAACAGCAAAGCAGGAGGCTTCCAAATGCATTGCGAGGAAACATTCTCTGCTTAGAATCTCAACAGATGGTTTCACACCACCCAACAGGTGGTGAAAGGCAGGCAACAACCCCTAGCTCAGTGCACCAGTACTCACTAAGCCAACAGTGCTAACCAACAAATCAACCCAGAATAATATGCTGTCGAAAGAAAAACGTTCAAGGGTAAACGTTAAACTATTTCAGATAATCATAACATTTGCCCCCAAACAACCGAAATATGTAGCAGAACAAACAAACAAACACGCGCGTGCTATTTACAATGAACGGACACATTGAAGTTCATTACAGCTGTTAGATTATGGGTGTTGCTTCTTTTATGGAAACTTAAATTGCAGGTACCAGCAACAAATTGAAAGTTGGGTTCGGGAGCTGAGGTTAAACCGTGCCGTTAGTTACGGTGTGTTTTTCGGCACAGTATTCAGACAAGCAGAATCCTCCCTGAATAGTACCCATAATCTAGTTCAGTTTCAAATCAAAAGCTGACAATTAGAACAACTTGGTTTAACCAGCAGATTGGAAACAGAATATATATATATATATAATATATATACACACACACACATATATATATATACATATATATATATATAGTTCTGCTCTTACAAAGTCACAAAGCTTTATTTATCTCATGAGAAACCAATCCGTTTCAACAGGACAACTGCTACGATTTGTACCAGCATTTGTTTTTTTACAAAAAAGGAAAAGGGACCAAAAGTCATACAAGAGAAACATTTAATAGAATTTTCCTTTTTTTACGCTTTCTGTTTAGAAAAAAAATTGGCAGTTTATAGCACCTCCTGCGCCTGCGTGCAGTGGATTCTTTCATGATCCTTGTGGGTTTGGAAGGTCAAATATAATGGGTGGATTCACGGGCTGGAAGCTGACTGTACAAGTGGAGGAGTTTATGTATGTTGTGTAGCCATCTGTCATAATACCGTAACCTGCAGAGAGAAGGTACTGTCATTAACTGCACAGCAAAAGCATTTCCCAGCAACGTCCTGTTGAACAAACAGAAGCCGTTGTGGTAAATGTGGTGACTTGGCATCTTCAAAGTTGAAGTGGAGAACAGCAACAACAACACATTACATTTACACAGCGATCATCACATCGGGAAGATGTCCCAAGGCACTGGATGGACAGTCAGGGATTCGGACCTGAGCTGGGGTTGGGACCAGGGAGGGTAGGGGTAGGATGGTGGCCAAAGGCGCGGTCGAAGACGAGGGTCTCGAGATGTGCCTCGAAAGAGGTAAGGGAGGGAGCGAGGCGAAGGGTGTGGGGATGGTGTTCTAGAGGGTTCTGGACCCCAGCAATAAATAGAGAATAGTGTCCTTTATGTAATATTTCATATGGACGTAACCTTTAGTAATTGAATGAAACTGCCCTGAAGGGGTTAACAATGAATGAATGAATGAATGAATGAATGAATGAATGAATGAATGAATGAAGCATTACTGATGTGTTGATTCTTCAATTGTCGAACTATTGGGTATGGAGGGGGAGGAGGAGAGGGATATTGCTGAGTCACCCATAATTTTCCCGATAAAACTGCCTTAATCTGTATTTTCTAACAAAGCAGGTTAGGTCTCTAACAGCTTCCTGAGTTTCCAATTACCTAAAAGCAAGGCAAGATTAAACTTTAAGCAAATTATTGTACTTTTATCTCTGTATGCTCTGGCCTTGATTAGCCTCCAGGAGAGTATTTTTATTCCTGTGCATTATTAATTTCACGTCGCCTAACCTCAGTTTAAGCAGCATGTCCGCAAGGTGCTCGATTGATTTATGAATCACAATTCATTTCACATCTTACTCTCAATGCGGTCTTTTAAAGGGAAGGTGATTTCCTACCGGGTAAGCAGGAAGCCGGTTGTTAGTCGATTGCTTTTCTGGGGGTAATAATAGTAATTTGGTCACTCAATCCACCACTGCTTGTGGGACACTTCTGTGCGCAATTGGCTGCCGTGTTTCGCCTTCAAAATATACAGTCAATTCATCTCACAGTATATCCTGTGAAGAGCTTTGAGCTTTGACACATCCCGAAGACGTGATAAGGCGCAAGGAATATTATTATTAATTGTTAAAAAGTGAGTTTACCCAATCTCAGCAAAGGAACCCGACTTTGACCAGAATTCCTCCAACTTCCCACAACTATCCTGATTTCAACCTATGGGAATTGGGGTATACCGTGTATGGTGACGTCATTTCATTTAAGTCGTTTTCCGTATTGATATTGCTTTCCTTTAAAAATGGCGTTTGAAGAACGTCTTCAAAGGCTAAAACATTGCAAATGCCCTGCACAAAATACCTTAAATAAGCATAGCCTTCGAATGCCTCCAGCTTCCCTGGGATAAAACTATAAAGGAATGTAGTGCGGTGTTAAAGCCGCCTTTTATTTAGCCTCTGAACCTGGTTAAGTATCCTAATTCTTTGCTGGATTTTTAAAAAAAAATTATTATTAAAAAAGCATTTTTTTTAAATCCTCCTCCCAATTTGCTCCCCTCCGTTCCTTTCCTGAATGGTGGGGGAGGGGGCGGGTGACTTGGAATCAGGAACTTGCTCCCACCCTTTGCCCAAGTGGCCATTCTTAATGTGTGGACACATAAATTAAGTCTCGACAGATTGAAGAGAAGCCCTTCCTCTTGTTTTCCTTCCCTCTTACAGTCTACAGGCTGTTAAACTCTAAGATGGGTACTATCTAACCACGTAGCAATGGTGGAGCTTGAAGGCCAAGCCATGGAGTAAAGGCTTCAGGTGTGACAAAGGCAGAGGGATTGAGACAGAGTGTTCTAGTCTCGGGCAAAAAGCACGGCCACTGATGGCGGAGCGGAGGGGATGAGGATGATGCAAGGAAGGCAGAGCCATCTGAACAAAGGGGGCCAAACACAGGGGAAAAAAAACATTTGCAATTTACATTCAGCGCCGGGCTAAGCGGCCAAGACAATTAATTACTTAAACTGATGATCAATTATATTCAATTATTTGCCGCAGCCTCAGAAATCCAAAGGCTCCCGTCAGTCAATGGGCACTGCTTATCTCTGAGGAAATAAGAGAGACAGAAAGATTTCTCTTCTAATTATATTTTCCTCAGATGACATCACTTCTCCTTGAAATGTCAGATGGTTTCCATGTGTTGGCCTGGTCCAGGCACAGAGCCCATGTGTCATGTAAAATGCTCAACAACGTACAGTGATGCCACAAGCCGCTGATGCTGAATTTGCATGACAATTAGGTCCTTCTGTACATCTATTTCTGAAAGCATTTGACATTTCAGCAATTGCTTTACATGTACAGGAACTGAAGTTACTGTGTGTGTGTGTGTGTGTGTGTGTGACTGTGTGTGTGTTTGAGAAGAGACATTGGAAATAGGTTACAACAAAAAAGGAGCGCACGATTGAAATTATTAGTTGCAACTGGCTTGAGGAACGAATGTCATGGGAGGATCTCCCTCACACAAGGGCTCGCGGGTGGGAAAGTCACTATTGCGGCAATCTGAAAGCAAATGTCAAGCCCCAGTGTGATTCCCGCTGTGCCTGCCTGCCGCGCAGTGACTGGGGCTAAATTTAGACAGAAATCACGCAGCATTATTACTGGCAGTCTTGTGGCTTTATAATCCTTGTATTTGATGTAGCGCCTTGTCATGTCTTCGAGACGTCTCAAAGCGCTTCACAGAGTATGCTATGCAGTGAATTGACTGAATATTTTGTGGGCAAAACGGGGCAGCCAATTGCGCACAGCAGCGTCCCCACAAACAGTCGTGGATTGAGTGACCAGATTTTTTATTTATTTTTTAAAAGGTTTATTTCATCCAGAAAAGAGATCCGCCAATCGACTAACAACCGGGTACAACTCACTGCGAGGTACAGGGAGGCGTGTGGAGTAAGGAAACTTGTCTAACGTTTTGCCCTGACCCGGGAATCAAACCCCAGGTCCTCTCGCTTGTGAGGCACGTGCTCTAACCACTGAGCTACAGGGACTCTACTGCTCTGGAGTAAAAGAGTGTGGGGGACTTTGTGAGGGAGTGGAGGGGGGGGGGGGTGGCTGTTTGTGGGGAGGAGAGGGGCTGTTGGAGAGATCTTTAAAGGAGTCAAGACTGTGGGAATTAGAGACGTCACCCACCTTCATGGATTCCACCGAAGACATGTAGCTTTGGTCGCACCCGTCTCTGTACTGTGTTTAGAAGTTCAACACACCCAACTCTTTGCAACTCTTTTGGCACCCAGTCTCGAAAACCTGAAAAAATAATTAAAGACATCTCGAAGTCGTTCCAGGTTTCTTCACCTCCCCACTACCCCACCCCCCCCTTCCTCCCCCCCAATCACCACTCAAACCATCCGACACTAATTCTGTGATCTGCTGGCTGTTGGTCTCTCTGCCAGCACGAGACAACACAACAAAGGTCTGAACAGCCTGGTGTACTTACACAGCACCCTTCACACAAGACAGCGTCCCAGTGGCGTGGGTTGGACACAAAGCAAGAGAGAAGTCGGGGGTGGGATGGTGGGGGGAGGAACCAACAATGTGGTCAAAGAGGAAAGTCTTAAGGTGGGATTTAAAGATAGATAAAGAGAGGGTGAGGCAGAGGATCAAGGGAGGGATGTGCTGAGGGGTTTTAACTGAGGGGCAAATGGGTGACTTGGAACACGGACTGGCAAAGCTTGTTCACCCTCCCTTGCCCTCGGGTATTGGGAGCTAGATCCGGGAGCTGAAGTGGAGGAAGTGGGGCAACAGGAGTTGTGTAAATAAAATCCTGAGCAGCGACAAGAGAGATGGTTTGTCTGTAAATGTTTTGCATCTGAACCACGTGAGGTGCGGTTGAGTCCTCCTGGCAATGTGCCCTGCTGAGCCACTGGGTACCTTCACACCCGGTGTCACATCAGATCAATTGTGGATCAACAAAGGCCATCAGACGAGGTCATTCCATTCCTCTCGTTGCACAATACACAGTGTGGAACAGGGCAAATTGCTTGAAATAACAACAATTATATTAAAAATAGTAATCCTTGCGTTACACAGTATATGATAAATCTCACATAAGTCGTATCGTATCTGTTTAACAACAGTAAGGAGGAACCCGGTTGTTAGTCGATTGGCGGATCGCTTTTCCGGGGGTAATAATCCCTCCCCTCCCCCCCAAAAGAAATAATAATAATTTGGTCACCCAATCAAAGACAACTTGTGTGAAACATTTGCCCCAATTCTTTGACCTTTTATCTGCCTTTGCCACTTACCTAATGGTGGCCCGTGAGTCATGAGGATATCGATGCCCTCTGGGATTAGATCCCATTTGTCCAGCAGAGACTGGCCTCTGGGCAGGTTAAAGCCCCAGCCGTTAAACCACGGTGTCCTGCAACCACAACAAATGACAGTTACACAGCACCTTCCATGTCAGAAGGACACCCCGAGGCGCTGGACAGTCAGGGATTTGGACCCGAGCTGGTGGTTGGGATCGTAGGGGGTGGGTGGGGGGGAGGGGAGGTGGGTGGTGTTGGTGGGGAGGGCAGGGAGGATGGGGGTAGGAAGGTGACCAAATGAAGAGGAGGGTCTTGAGACGCGTTTTGAAGGAGGCAAGGGAGGAAGTGAGACGAAGGGTGGATGGGATGGATTTCCAAAGGGTATGGGGGTGGGGTGGGGGGTGGGTGAGGAGGGGAATGCACACACATACATTCAGATAAGGAGGTACTTGACGAACCTGCATGACACACACTGCAGTAGGACTGATTATATACCACTGGGCAGTGCACACTGAGAGGACAACCTGTAAACCACTGAAGACAGCAGTGGCCTTTTCACAGTGTGGTGAAAAATAACACAGGATTACAGTACGTGGCTTCCTTTATTGCAGTCAGTGGGAACATACATCTTAATATTGATTCACACAGCAGCATTCTATACTTAGCACAAATTACTCAGCAAGACTGGGATTCAGACAGGTCGGGAGTAGCTGAGACACAAAGCTCACCAACTCCACTCGATCTGCGACGACTCAAATCCAGGGCCATTTAGCAGCACGTTTCCGCTCTCTGAGGTTCATTCGGTGTGTTTATTAATAAAATCCAGTTTCCCCCAAGTAAACATGTTATTGTAAGATCAGCAACGATGCAACACAGTCCCAGCACCGCATTAAGAGGGTCAACTTACGATTATGTGAGTTCAAGTGGCCACGTGGGGAATGGAACTCTTGATTAACAGGATAAGCCCCCAAATGCTTAATCATGTCACAGATTAGATGTTGCAGCAATGCTGCCCCTCACACAAGTTAGCGTCCCAGAGCGCTTGACAATGGTGGAGCACAATGTTGAGCCGGGGGGGGGGGGGGGGGGGGGGGAGGGGGAGGGGTAGGTGACTGTAGGTACGGTCGAAGAGGAAGGTCTTCAGGTGCGATCTGTAGATGGGGAAGGAAGGGGGCAAGGCGGCGAGATAGAGGAGGAGTGTTCCATGATAATGCCTGATTTTTTTTCCCAGGGAAAGGATTGTCAGTGAAGTGTCTGGGCGTGCGAGAGGCTGAAACACCAGCATTCCGCTTGTACACTTGTAATAGAAATCATTTAACCTTCACATCCACAATGTCAATATTCCATCAAACACCTCTGATTGATGCACTTCAGTCTTTGCCGTTGTTCTGTGCTTTCAGCTGCTATTCAGTCGGAGGAACACTCCTCCAAAGAAGAACACAAATAGGGCCGAGAGTCAAGGCTGGCGTAGGTCAGAAGTGATGCTCCATTTCGAATGTTTCATTTCCCGTAATGGCAGAAGAAATGAATTGCACAATGAGTTATAACGCTGTCCGCTCACACCTCCGGGAATCTAATTCAGAGACTTGTAGCGAAGGTGCTTTCCCCTCTACTCGAAAGGCAATAAAATCCGCACAAAACTGCCCCAAAGGCTGAGTTACAGAATTGTTTTTAGTACACCAACTTCCAACCTTACTCTCACTGCAGGTGCTGATTCTTACCAGACTGTGTTTCCTGTTTGCTAGCGTAACTCTCTAAGATCTGTTTGACTGTGGAGTGATCGCAGCCGAGGATGATCCTGTCTTGCCTGGGTGTACTTTAAGTGTTGAGGATTAACAACCCTACGCAATCTTAAAATAGTCATACAGGCTTAAGATCAGGCGAAATTTCGAACCTATCGATTCTCAGTCATAGATCAGAACAAAACTGATCTTTACTTAGGCAAGACATTGTGCAATTGGTCTCCTAGATTGAATTAGTACCACGGAAATAAACCCTTAAATGAATATCTCCCTCTCTTATTCAGATTATACAAACACATGGTCAGTTACCAGCTGCAAACGCTGGAGAAGAGAAGGTTGAGGGCTGATATGATTACAGTCTTTTAAGATTTTGAAGGGACTAGATAATGTAAACCAGGATAAGCTGTTTTATCTTGTGCTGAACAGTAGAACCAGAGTACACGGCCTGCGATTGAAGGGGAGTAAATTCAGAACAAATCAGTGGAAACACTACTTCAATGAGCGAGCAGTAAATATATGGAACAGACTCCGCAGGGAGACCGACGGTGGAAACAGAAAGTGTTGTTTGTTTCAAAAACAAATGAGATAGATTTGGGACACGACATGTCAAGCGACGGCCAGGATGGCGGATGCTGAACTAGATGGACCTTAGTCTTCTTTCGCCAGCAAATTCTTATGTTCTTCATTCATCTGTAGCAACAGCCACATTACCTTGTGTTTCACTCCCGTGCATTAAACTCCCCGTAAACTCAATTTTTAAAACCTATCTCCAGTCTCCAGTGTACAATACATCTCCAATCGATGAAATACGAACCCCTGTATTCCAACTCATTCTGTCATTCTTTGGCTAATTCATCTTGGAAATCCCAGAGCTTGGCAAACTAACCTCTTTGTCTCATTGCCTTACGAAATGGTCGTTCTTACGATAAATCACAAAAAAAAATAGCCTTTCACAGCTTTAAGGTTACAGCTATGTGCTAGGTTTCATTAGCGCGGGTCAAAAAAAACCTAACCAGTTATTGATACCCACATAAAGGTTGATGAATGCACTAGAAAGAGAGAGTGCTTGCAGGGCAGCGACAGTAGACATCTTAGCATAATAAATGAACTATATCTTTGCTCTTTCCTGACATTTGATTCCCGGGCAGGGCGAAACGTCGGGCGAGTTTCCTTACTCCACACGCCCGTTTACCTAGCAGTAAGTAGCAACCTGCTTGTTAGTCGATTGGCGCATCGCTTTCCAGGGGTAATAATCCCTTCAAAAAAAATGTGGTCACTCAATCCACGGCTGTTTGTGGGGACGCTGCTGTGCGCAATTGGCTGCCGCATTTCGCCCACAAAATGTACAATCAATTCACTTTGCAGTATATCCCATGAAGCGCTTTGAGATGTGGCGAAGACGGGATAAGGCGCTATAATCAAATATAAGTCTTTTTTGTTAGTTTTACATTTGACTGAAAAAGACCAAAGTTGCCGTCCCGGGTAATAACGTGGGGAGTCGAACACATTGTCGTTGGAATCGAATTGTCACACACGCGGTGCTAGCAAATCGAAGAACAAGGGAGCAATTGGTGCTTGAGCTTCACGGCTTGGGACGACGGCCACAAAAAAGTGTTTGAACAACTTCACGGAATATAATGGGAGCACAAGCACTCTTGGGTTAAAAAAAAGTCCCTGGGTGGTGATTTAAGCACTGGGTTTCCTGGGCCTGAAAGCCACTGGCCACGATGTGTTACTAGTTTATAACCTCTGAGACTCGGCTGTAAATACCTGAAAAAAATAAGATGCTTCCCGCCCCCCCCCCCCCACACCGTTCCTCCTTTCAATTTGCTATTTTTCGCTCACGAGAGAACAAACTTCAGTGGCCGTACGACAGGATGTGAACTGTTTAACCGTAACCGCAAACAGGCAATAAGCTTGATTTGATGCTCATATCTCCGTCTCTGCCAATTTGTGTGCCACGATCCTTTACTTCCTGGTACATGAGTGACCCTTAGCTCTTAACTGTCTGGCCCTGATCTCTGGCTGACGGTGACCTTCATGATCAGTGAACCTCCAAGTGCAGCACTGAGTCCTGAAGGACCTTTGAGTTTCCATCGCAAAACTCCCATTCATTAATGCACAGTTTTCTAATAATAATAATAATCCTTGCATTTGATGTAGCACCTTATCACATCTTCGAGACATCTCAAAATGCTTTGCGGCATATTCTGAATTAACTGTGTAGTGTGGGCGAAATATAAATATAAATTAAAATGGAATAAATATGTAAATATAAATTGAAACGCAGCCAATTGCACACAGCAGTCTTGGAAGCCGTTTGAATTTCACTCCGGGTCGTTAACGGCCGATGACATTATTTTGTTTAAGACGCTTGTAGCCGGGCTCCTGTTTTATGTCCGAGAGGTTGTCTACAACACCCTCGGCCTCGTGAGAATTATGCAAGTAGAAAAGAACCGCAAAAACCATGAGCATGCAACAGATTCAGACGCTGTGCGATTCTCCTCTGTTCCCAGAGATTAACAGACATTTCTCAGGGTTGGGTGGGGGCCGCGGAAACTTTATTAAGTTTATGGCCGCGACACAGTGTGTGTATTGTTCTTATGCACTCGGGCCGCAAACTGTGACTCCTTTCTCTCTGTCTTCCGCGAGCTGAGTTGCAGAACTACGGACGAGCACAAAAACACTGCCCACTCCGCTCGGAAATATCCACGCCACACACTTCTGGAACTTTCCATTTCCTCCCGTTCGGGGGATAGTGGCTTTTTTAAAAAAAAAAATCAGACGTACTGTTACTTTACAAATCTTATGCCGGCTTCAGAGGACGTCTCAAAGCATTTCACAGGATTCGGTGTAAAGTGTAGTGACTGTGTGTCTGGCTCCGACACCATTCTCAAAGCCACCTGATAGTAACAATGCTACACTCCATTTTGGCAAATGTTCAGTGAAAACTCTTTATATTATATAAAACAAACTCCCCAACGGTGTAGCGGGTAAAGCCATCACCTTGTGTAGCAGCCACTCACTCACCCAATCCAGAAGGCCGCATGTTTAAATACGTGGTGGAGACGCTTTCAGATAAGGGTAGTGAGATTGGGGTCTGAGGGGGGAGGGAATAGGACACAGTAGGAAGGGATTGTCCAGAGATGTTGGAGGGGGGACAGGGCTGGAGAGACGAAAAATGTAAAGAGAAAAACAAAGGGATGATGTGTGTTTTTTGCACTCACACTGTGTATTCCCTGGATGTCTCTGTACATCCAGCCAGTCAGTCAGTCAATGAGCAATGTGGGGGTAACATGGCATCTAACCAAATATTAATTGATTGCTGAAGCAGCCGCATTTAGAGGTTAAACTAATGGATTGTTTTTTTT